TTCAATCTATAACAGTGAAAAAAGTTTTTTGTTTTTAAATCCAAGCTATTGTGACACCAGATATAAGTGGTGGCACTGGTCACCGTATCCACTGTTAGCGTAACACACCCCCTTTAGGACACTGACTGCTATTCAATCTATAACAGTGAAAAAAGTGTTTTGTTTTTTTAAATCCAAGCTTTGTGTCACCAGATCTAATTGGTAGCACTGGTCACCGTATCCACTGTTAGCGTAACACACCCGCTTTAAGGACACTGACTGCTATTCAATCTATAACAGTGAAAAAAAGATTATTTTTTTTTTTAAATCCAAGCTATTGTGACACCAGATCTAATTAGTGGCACTGGTCACCGTATCCACTGTTAGCGTAACACACCCGCTTTAAGGACACTGACTGCTATTCAATCTATAACAGTGAAAAAAGATTATTATTTTTTTTAAATCCAAACTATTGTGACACAGATCTAATTAGTGGCACTTGTCAGCGTATCCACTGTTAGCGTAACACACCCGCTTTAAGGACACTGACTGCTATTCAATCTATAACAGTAAAAAAAAGTTTTTTGTTTTTAAATCCAAGCTATTGTGACACCAGATGTAATTGGTGGCACTGACTGGGGAAATGGGCACAGTATGCACTGTGAGCCTGACACAGAAGCTGGCAGCAGTGGCAGACAACTGACTGCTATTCAATCTATAACAGTGAAAAAAGTTTTTTGTTTTTAAATCCAAGCTATTGTGACACCAGATGTAATTGGTGGCACTGACTGGGGAAATGGGCACAGTATGCACTGTGAGCCTGACACAGAAGCTGGCAGCAGTGGCAGACAACTGACCGCTATTCAATCTATAACAGTGAAAAAAGTTTTTTGTTTTTAAATCCAAGCTATTGTGACACCAGATGTAATTGGTGGCACTGACTGGGGGAATGGGCACTGTGAGCCTGACACAGAAGCTGGCAGCAGTGGCAGACAACTAAGTGCATTTACATTAGATAGAAAAAAAAAATCCAAAAAAAGCATACCCTTATCCCTAACCTAGCTATGCTTTTCCCTATCTTATGAACAGCAGCTACACTTTCCCTCCTCTACTAAGCATGCAGCTTGAGAATGAATCTAAAATGGATGCTGTCCAGTAGGTGGGAGGGTCTGCTAGGGAGGCTGTGCTGCTAATTGGCTGGAATGTGTCTGCTGACTGTGAGGTACAGGGTCAAAGTTTACTCAATGATGACGAATAGGGGGCGGGTCGAACCGCGCATATGTTCGCCCGCCGTGGCGAACGCGAACATGCTATGTTCGCCAGGAACCGTTCGCCGGCGAACCGTCGGTACATCACTAATCACAATTAGAGCACTGTCAAGCTGCTGACAAAGTTCGAGTTTCTTCCATAAAATGAGTCCATTGTTGACCCATTATAGGTCATGTTTCGAAAATGATCATTTAGCAACTTTGGTAGAACACATTATCTAATCATATTAGATACTATTGAAAATTTCAGTTGTTGGTACTATTTTTTTTTGCTTTCCCTTTGATAAAATCTCATTCACTTTGAAGCTGTGCTTAAATAAAACCTTACAGTATATTGGAAAAACATAATACAACGGGGTTTAGTCCTTAACACTGAATTGTAGTGAATTGAAAATGGAATTTTAAATTAATGCAACAAAAAGTGCTGATATAGAAAAATTATTCAACTCAGCAACATCCATTCAATGACTATTTCAGGGTTTGTTTCAATTAGTTTTGAATTCACTATGATACACTGTTTAGCTAATTATTTTATGTAGACATTTTTTCTAAATTAAAAACAGAATTATAAATGTAAGCAAATAATCTTGACTATTTCAACCAAAATTTTGTAATTCAATCTTTAAGTCACTATAATTCACTGTTGATCAAATAATTTTATGATCAGATGTTTTTCAATCTATACAAATATGTACAGTAACAAATAGAATAAATATGCAACATATAGGCTTTGATTTAACATTGTTGGATAAACTTTTCAGTTGATTTAATAGTTTGGGATAAAGATTTAAAATTATCAAATATTGTGAAAACTATTTTAATTTTGGAATATTTTAATATTATTTAATATACTGTTACATTTTTTCTTATATATGTTTTTTATATTTCAATATGCTGTAAATATCAACTTTTTAGTTTTCAAAAATATTAAATAATTTGGAAGTCTTATCCAACAAGCTGAGATTTAGTTGTGTGACAACGGCAAAACAACAAAAAAAAAAATCTTAATTTGCTCTAAGTGAGAAGAGTATCTATAACATGCTAATTTCAATATTCTGTCGGTTAAACTAAAAATATATATTTGAAGATGTACTTGTAAAATTTGGGAGACGTCCCCTAATTTGATCAAAAATTGCCATTCATATATTACTAAAAAAGTTGCCCAACACACAGTTAAAATCAATCTTGCATATAAAAAAATACTTTTATGAAATATTTAGAAAATATATTTACTTATTTTTTACAATAGGGAATTTTAACTGTTTTCTTATCAAGTATAGAGATAAAAATGAC